CAGCAACTCTGAATGCCAATAAGATAGAACAACGCTTGTGTCGACTTGTGTCATCAAATGGAAAGCATCCATTCTAGTATATATATATATATATACAGTTTCTGATAGGGTAAAATCTTTTATTCCCTATGCTCCTCTCTCCCTCCCTTCCCCCCTCCCCTCTCTCTCTCCTATTCGAATAGGGAACAGAGAATAAGAATTTCAGAATAAGCTTATCAGAAATTGTGTAATTTACAGTACATATCTGATAGATCGAAATTCTTGTTTTCTGTTGCCAATTCCTTTGATTGTGCGCAGCCCTTTATGCTCGTGCCACATCACACATTGGAAATGTGTTCCACCATGAGCCAAGGCATACAAGTTGCATATACTAATACGCGAAATTATTGCTAAAAATTCTTCTAATTGTTAATAAATACAATCAAAGATGACAATAATAAATAAAACTAAAATCCTTTCAATTTGATTTTACTTTATTTTTTTTCAGAAGCATTTATAAAATGATCCAAAATTTGAATCGACTGTTGTTTAACAAAGGTTGTTTCAGATAGACGTTCAAGCATACATAATGTGAGTATGTATGCATTAGTCGAATAATCCAAAACCCATGTCATCATCTTCTGAGTCTGATTCTTCCTTCTTCTCTTCCTTCTCTGCAGCGGGAGCGTCAGCAGCTGCAGCTGCTGGAGTTGCTACAGCAGCGGCAGCAACAGCAAACTTGCTTGGATCCTATAAACAATTCCATTATTCTTAATAAATACTTCTCGGCCAATTGCGTATAAAGTATTTACATTATGTTTAATTCAGACTGCACTTTTGTGCGATATTTCAACAACAATCTTGACGTGTCAATGGGTTCAACTATTTCTAGCTATGACACGTGAACCAAGATCTTTAGACGTGTAATGTTTTCATCATTATATTTCATTCAAGAATAATTAGAAACTATGAGATATGTGTAAAATCGTACCTTAACGTATTCCTTGATAGTAGTAGCTTCCGCAAATTCAACCTCAGTAACAGCAGCGACAGCTAGCAAGTTCTTGAAGCCGTTTACAATACTATGTGGAGCGCTAGCGACTGTAGGATAACCAATCATCAAGCAAACTGAAGCTAAATTTGCGACTCCTGCCATGAATTTTTCACATAGATCTTCAGGTTTGATGTCCAAAATCTCAGGCGCAAAAATAGTACCAGAATCGTACACTTGTTCAACCAGTAATCCATAGGAAAAGGGCGAGATATTCAGCATGTTTAAAAGCGTGGCTTCAGAAGCTCCCACTTTATCACCAGGTTTGAGGATATGAACATCATTCTATAAAATGTAATATCCAGTTATTATTATGTACATTTGTGCAGAATGTGTAAGAATTAAATTTAAATAAATCGCAAGTATTTACTATTATTTCAATGGTTCCTTTTGAGATTTTAGTCGGTATACTTAGCGCTTGGAAAAACGATGTTTTCTCAGGACCAAGTCCCGTGTTTTGCGCTGGAATAATAACGCTTAAGGGTGCAATGGCTCCTGCTCTGGCTGGAGCACGTACTTTATTTTCCAGTAGTTTGTCCCTTACTTCAATCAAATCACCTCGGGTGAAAACAAATCCAACATTACCACGAATGTGAGGCAGTAATTTCTCTAATGCTGCGTTGCGTTCTATATGACCACGAATGGCTTTTCTCATCATGGTATTTTTACCCATCAGTACGACTGCGTTTCCACGCAGTGACATACGAATCTGTTGCATTTGTTTTGAGCCGACATTGTCCGCACCCACAATGAAGCATTTAGGAAAATCATCTAATAGTTGCTAATTTTTAACAAAAATTATTCTAATAAGTATTTTTTTAATTATAAACTTTATAAATATAAAAATAAAAGTAATATATAAAAATATATATATGTATATAAATTATATATTTATATTTATAAGCAATTTATATGCTATTAGGTTATGCATATGATGAGATTATAGAACTAAACGATGAATACAAAAGGAATTACTTACAACAAGTTTAGTGAAGTAATTCGACTTCCATGTTGCTTTATCCTCCCTACCCATCTTGAATAATGTGGTAAGGATACCTTACGGGAATTTAAGGACTAAAAATGGTTAAAGATTGAATTTAGATAATACAGAAAAAATTGCTATTAATAAAATATATTAAAACATTTTTCAGATAATAATAGATACACAAAATATGCTTTTCCTTCCTACATATTATTCAGAATTTTACAAATGAGTTTATTGATTATTCTCACAAGTATATCTAAGTCTTATGTCTCTTAAATTTTCAAACGCGTATTTTTCTCATCAATTTACTGCATGCTTAATTAAAGAATATAATCAACACGCCACATGTTCTGATGCTAACGAACTTCGGACTATCTGAAGACACATCGTATTAATAACTTCATATTCGATGTAACTCAAAATAATTATACAATATACAACTTTTGTACTATTTTTATAAAACTACAGCATCGTAAATCAAAGATGAATAATACAAATTAATCATTAGAGCGATATTGTAGAAATAACGAATCGACGAGTCTACATACCTCAGCAACGTGCTGCAACACAGTGAAGAAGGAAACGGAAGTCACGATCGTCTCGGAAATGAATGTTGTAACAGTGCTGCAAACTCACGCTTTCTTGCAACTAGCAAGTTAAAGGCCGGTATTTATATATATAGTCAGGATATCAATCATGAAATTTTATCCCTAGAATGGAGAGTGAAAAGTGAAAATTTTTACCATTGAAATTAAAGGAGAAATTTTCCACTTTTCACTTTCCATCCTAGGAAAAAATGTCATGATTGATACCCTTATGCTGGATTCACACTGCATCCGATTTTTGTCGTACGACGCTCTGCAACCAATCAGAAAACAGGATTCCCATGGATTTTGCTTCGTATCATCGGAATCCTGTTTTCTGATTGGTTGCAGAACGTCGTACGACGAAAATCGGATGCAGTGTGAATCCAGCATTATATTTAAGACAGTCTTAAAATAATGAACCGACTCTGAATACCGGCCTAAATACAAAAAGTGCAAGCAACGCGAACAGACCTAAGGTCTTATATCATGGCTGCGACCTGTGTTTCTGCCGAACGCATTTGTGTATATCGAAACGCGGTTTGTTTATAGATTCGCCGGTCGTGACTGTGAATTTCTTTTCTTCAATTCTCTCGACGAAAAGTATTTTATTCAAATATAAAAATGCCGTGTGAAATGATAACTCTGCAACTTGGTCAATGTGGCAATCAAAGTAAATAGTTACATTTTATTTTGCAACAGATGATGTCACTATTAATTTTTAAACATAAGTTTTAAATTGTAATATAAATTCAAATAGTGGCATAAAAGTAACATAAGTTTCATAACTGTATGGTTTTTTAACTTTAACTATTTTAGATAATCAAAATCAAGGTTTTACAAAACTCAAAACATTGTTAGGTCCATCTAGATCCTTGTATGAATAAATCAAAAGAAAAAAGACTTATAAACAATCAGATATTCTTCAAAACAATGTGTAGCTTTATATGCAAAATATTTCACACTTGTAACACAAGATTACATACGTATTTGTAAATTTATATATTTTGTTTATCTTTGCAGTTGGATTTGAATTTTGGAAAAGGTTATGTGCAGAACATGGAATTAATCCAGAAGGAATTTTAGAAGATTATGCAACAGAGGGAATGGATAGAAAGGATGTCTTTTTTTATCAGTCAGATGATGAACACTACATACCACGAGCTGTATTATTGGATTTGGAACCAAGAGTAATTAATGCCATTATGTCTTCTACATACAAAAAGGTAATAAATATAAATATACATATACATATATATACATATAGTGTTTTACTGTTTTTATATTATTTGACATTAAAGTTAAAAATTTTTATTTTCTTATAAGCTGTATAATCCTGAAAATATCTACTTGTCAAAACATGGTGGGGGTGCAGGAAATAACTGGGCATCTGGATACCATCAGGGTGAAAAATTACAGGAAGAAATCTTTGATATTTTGGATAGAGAAGCTGATGGTAGTGACAGCTTAGAAGTAACTATATTATTCTTATATTTTAGTACTCTAGTAATATGGAATTCTAATTTAATGTTTATAATATAAGATTATTCTTTATATTTTTAAATATGATTTTTTTCAATGGCTGTTCTACAATGTGCTTTTTGTTTCCTGTTTCTTGCTGTTTGTCTCTATTTGATCAAAAAGGCAAGAGATAAACAGACAAACAGCAAGAAACAGGATACGAAAAGCACATTGTAGAACAGCCATAAGAATCATGGAATTTGTGTAGGGTTTTGTTTTGTGCCATTCAATAGCAGGAGGTACAGGTTCTGGCATGGGATCTTTTATGTTAGAATCTCTTGCTGATAGATTTCCCAAAAAATTGATCGAGACATACAGTGTTTTTCCAAATCAAGATGAAATAAGGTAAATATTTATTTGTTTGAAAATTCTTTATGTAATATATGGATATACGTATATTATTTATATATTTATATACATTTTTCAAAGTATGAGTCTGATACGCTCTGTTATATCCTGTATACATATTATACATACATATATATGCATATGTATATATAGACATACTTTTTTGTTACAGCGATGTCGTAGTACAACCATATAATTCATTGTTAACATTGAAAAGGCTGACTCAATGTGCAGACTGTGTGGTAGTTTTAGATAATACTGCTTTGAATAGAATTGCTTCAGACAGATTGCATATCCAGAATCCCAGTTTCACACAAATTAATAAGCTTGTTTCAACAATAATGTCTGTTAGTACAACCACTTTGAGATATCCTTCGTATATGAACAATGATTTGGTTGGTTTGATTGCGCCACTTATACCAACTCCTCGCTTGCATTTTCTAATGACTGGTTATACTCCACTTACAACGGATGAAGAGGTATCTGATGATTTAATTATTACTTATTCAATATGTTATTAGAATAGAATATGAAATGTAAAATATTCATTTTATAATATTTTCTATAACAATATCTAATAATTAGTACTTTTATATACGAAATAATAGATTTTATGATATGGACTTAGAAAAAAATTAATTCTATTTAAAAATGTGTAATTGCATATTACAATTTTGTATATTGATGCATTTGCAAAAAACTAACATCAGAGAAAATCTAATATTTTTTCTTTATTTAAAGAAAAATTATATTCCTGCTCAGATTATTAAAATATAATCACAGTTTATTTAATCAGAATATAATCACATTTGATGTTTAAACATGTCTGTATAATTTTGTAAATTATTGGGAAACAGGGTGCGTCTGTGAGAAAAACATCAGTCTTGGATGTAATGCGACGATTGTTACAACCGAAAAATATGATGGTTTCTACAGCGTTAGACAGAAATGCATCTCATTGTTATATATCCATTTTAAATATAATTCAGGTAATATTTTAGAGAAATTCATTTATTCAAGAAATTTATTTGTTAAAATTTGTTATGGTTCCTCATATATATATATATATATCAAAAGAAACATATTGCTCAACACATAATTATTTTGAACAGGGTGAGGTGGATCCGACACAAGTGCACAAATCATTACAAAGGATTAGAGAGCGAAAACTCGCGCAGTTTATTCCTTGGGGTCCTGCTAGTATACAAGTAGCTCTTTCACGAAAATCTCCTTATATACAAAGTGCACATCGCGTTTCTGGTTTGATGTTAGCTAATCATACTAACATATCATCGGTAAGAGTATTGGCTATTAAATTCTTAATACTTATCGTCTAATATCACAGCACAATATATAATATATAATACAAAATATTCTATATTTTAATTTAAATATTAATAACTGTGTTTCAGTTGTTTGATAGAGCCTTACAACAATATGACAAATTGCGTAAACGCGAAGCATTTTTGGAACAATTCCGCAAAGAAAAGATGTTTGAAGATAATCTCGATGAACTGGACAATTCACGAGAAGTTGTAGACTGTTTAGTGAAAGAGTATCAGGCTGCAACTCGAGTCGATTATCTTAGTTGGAATCCAAATAAGGCAGATACATAAGTATGCAAATAATCGAACTTTTTTAGTGTTTCCAGTTTTCATTACATTATATTTTATATCGCCGTTATACTTACGATTAACAGAATATTTGTAGGATACCATTATCACAATATTTATTCTCACAAAAAAATATTTGTTAATATAATTAATAGAAATGGTTTTTAAATATTTTAAATTATGGATTTCTATTTGAGATTGTAACAAAACTAATTTACGAATTTTAGTTAAGGTTCCTGAATAGTCGCTGTGGCCATATAGAATCGTGACGTCACAAGCGAGAAATAATACGTTAAAGTTTCTTGCATGACATTTGTAAATAAAGAGAATTATAAATAAATATAAAAGCGTTATAAAATATAATTGCTCAGGAGCCCTAATTAACCACTACTTAAATGCGCATTGCAGTATTCTACAATCGTTTATTCATTTATCTGAATTTCTACACTGTAAATGTATTTCTTTTTTGCGTGCATAACTAGGAGGTAGAATAGCAATCGTAATGAAGCCTGTATGGCCAGGTAATGAATGAGAGTGAGTAACTGTAAGAAGTTTTTCTTCTTGTTTTTCTTTTCCGTTCTTGTGAATATCTTCAGTTGTGTGCTATAATAGAATAATTAAATTTTTTATTTTTATATTCAGGTTATTCTTTGAAATTTATTCCATGTTTTCTCAATGTCTTAAAATCTTTTCTATCTATTAAAATATTTTACAAGAAAATACGTTGAAGTGTAATAAATTCTATTCTATTTTACAAGAAAATATACTACAATATAAAATTTTATAAAGTTATAAAAGCATGTTAAATTTTATATTTTATATACGTCATTAATTCATGAAATTCAATATAATTGTTACATTGATAAACTATAGTTTTAGATGAGTAACTAAATATTTTAATTTATTTGATTTGTATCATATGCAATTAAAGATTTTTCACTAGTAATGATAAAGTATACCTTGTGTTTCAAACATTCCAAATCTAATATTGGCAAAAGTTTGTACTGAACGTTCATTTCTCTTTGCAAACATTCGTATGTATGTAATTCTATAAATCCTTCACAAATTAGTTTTATACAAGTACGTTGAACTTGTTCGATACAAGGAGAAAAGAAACAAAGTTTTCCACCTGTTGGGTAAAAATTGTATATCATACATTGTACTATAATAATGAATGTATGAATAATGAATGCACTTACAATTCTATGTAATACATGTATTATGTCTTCAAATACGCTTATATGTATTAATGTTAATTCAAACTACCTATATCTTTGTGCAGATATAAAAATACTCACTCTAGAATATTTACTGTCAATTAAAATTCTTCATAAATAAAAGAAAATTAAATTTTAAAAAAATTTCACCTGCTTTTTTTAGAGCAACTGTAGCATGCTCTACAGCTAACCATGGATGTGGAAGATCTAGAAACACTGCATCGACTTTATGTTTCAATTCTTCTCCAAATCCTTCTAAGCAAACATCCTTTTCTTTCAAAGTTACAAAATCACTCAAACCATGTTTTTTAAATTCTGTGCTAGCAATAGATACACGTTGTTCATGAAAATCAAAGGTATACAAATGGCCACTTGGACGTATCGCTCGAATTAATGCGTGAGATAAAGAGCCACTACCAGTACCTAAAATTGATTATGAATAAGGATGGTTTTCTTTCAAATATGTGCGTGTATCAGCATAGTGTGTGTATGTGCGTATAATCTACCTGTTTCAATTACTGTACTTCCAGGTCTAAGTTCCATTAAATGTATAATAAAACTTATATCTGGACTATAGATAATTTGAGTTCTATGAGGTAGTATCAGCGTCCAAAGTTCTGGCGTTGGCTGCAACACATATGCCCAGCCTCGAGTCAACTCGACTTTTGAACCATATTTTTGGCCGATGAGTGATATGACTCTTAATGCACCGTATGTAGTGTTGAACACATTGTCTACGATTTTGCCCTTTTTATTGGAAATTTTCGCTTTTACTTCCAGAGGATGCATGTTGTTTGGATTTAAATATAAAATAACAATATCTCCATCTTCTATAACTTCTTTAATTTTGTTGAAACTCATTTCGTAATTGTTTAGTTTAATTCCCTTCAGCTCTAATATTGATAAAATTATGCTTAGTTGATGCGTTTTTGTGGAAAACGAAAGAATCTGATAAAAAAAACAGAATCATTTATACTTTGTTTATATCGTAATTGTGATTATTCCCCTCTCTATTTGATCTACTGTTATTAAGTAATTCTTACAGATTACGGCCAGTACTAATGATCTTTACTGCTCTGCAAAACGAGATATTAATTGTTAAGTTAATAATTGTACAGGTTAAGAAATCCGCGTTGTATCAAAATCAAAATACCATGGCTGCAAGCATGTGCCATGAGACTGATGTCGCGCTAAACCGCCGACTGATGGCGTTGATCGCGATGTCGTAAACCGTCTCGAATTGGCAATTGGCATCCTTGCACAGTTGAGAAGAAAACGGAAGTCACGGTCGTCTCGGAAATGAATGTTGTAGCAGTACTGCAAACTGAGGCGTCATCTACAATACACAGAGTAATGGCTACTGCACACTGGACGCGATGAGCGATGAGCGTTAAGAAGTAAAGCCGGCGGCACACGATGCTTGTTTTCCTACTGGATTGCTAGCTGGATTAGAATCTTGCCACCACAACGCACCCGCGATTCGCCATTGCGACGTGATTGCCTACTACCGAAGTTTCATATCGTGTTCGTGCGTGAGAATTCAGTGCACGTTTCAGCTGTATTGCATCATTCGCGCGCGAACAACCGAACGGTGCGGACCTCCTTGCGACTGCTTCGC